CGGCCGCCTTTGCGATGGCCGTCCCCTCGTCGTACTCGTCAAACATCGCCACATAACACGACGGGATGTCCAGCTCTCGCACGTTCACGAACTGACGCCACATGAAGTCACCATGCTCACGCGGGATATGGTTTTGTATAGCTTTTGGCTCCCAGTTAGCCCACGAGAAACCCGGAAATAGAACCGGCTGAAAATCTATAGCATATTGATGATTATAATGATTTTAATTATTTGAATACTGATAAATCAATTTTAAAATAATTATTAGCATGCAAATTGTGTTTTAGTAGTAATCCTCTGAAAGCTAATCCAGTACAGTTAGCAACTTTATTTTGCCTCCGATTTAGTAATATTCAGTGAACGCTGTTAACTATGAATGACAACAAATTTATAATTTGTCACAACACTAGTCATAATCATAGTTAGCTCATAAATTTAATAATATTTATAGTGTTGAGAAACTGTAATAATTTATAAAACTTTTGTCTCTTATGGTTAAAGTGTGCCAATGATTGGGATGGAAATGAATTTGCACATTAACTTTTGAACATTGGTCAATCAATTTTCAAATATGTTTCCAACATTTATTTTCGATGGGGTTTTGGGTTTAGGCGTGTTTGCCAACATTGCTTAATGAGTGCATGACTTTATGATAATTATATAGTGTTTTTCATAGACATTCTAAAGTCATACACTCAATAAGCAAGGTTGTCGAATAGGCATAAGCAAGAAAAAACAGAAAAATATACCCTCAGAAATACCATACTAAATTAAACTATTAATGTTACCAATGTTAAGCTGTTTCAGTGTGTTGTGGTCGGCCTCCAACACCTTTTTATAACCCTCGGCCCCTTTGACGCCCCCAAAGCGGCCGACCGCCCAGGGCTGCAACATATCGAGCTTCGTATAGACGTCCTTCCAGGCGGTGGTGTCGGTGCGCCACTGGGTCTGCACACCGCCCGCCACATAAACACCCCTTTGCTTGAGTTGCTCGATGACAACGAGCGCACCCTTTGTGTCCTGCGGACGGTTATCAAACCCGAAGCCCCAGATGCAGACCACGGGTTTGCCGTTCTGGTGGGCGTAGGCCTTACTTGTCGTCAGACGCTTGATGTTGTTGTCGTAGTCCTCGATGAGTTCGGCGGCGAATTTAGTCCATCCGGTGATATCCCACATGATGTAGAACTTGCGGTCGTGAGCCTCGGCCGCCGCCCTCACGTTGTCGGCCATACCGTTATCCCTTTTCCGGGCGATGGGGTCAGGCTTTACGTATGACCCAAACCGTTGAAGCGCCGCCGTATCGATGTTGTTCTGATCGGACACGTAAGGGAGGGTTCATTTGGTAAACAAGTCAGTAAAGGGGTGGGGATTCGTATGGGATTAGCCGTCATATTCAATGATAGAATAGAGGACAACATCATATTAATAATAGCATTACTAAATTGATTGAAATCGTACATGGTACTCATATTTTGATATTTTGCATGTGACAGATCTATTAACTTAGCATAATTAAGCACTGTTTTTGACGTTTTCCTGGGTTATGCATGTTTACCGCTATTGATTGCTAACATGTTTAACCCTTAACCTACATCAAAAATCGAACCTGGGCATAACATAAGGCCATTTAAGGATATATGGTCACCAGGATATTCACCTCTTTCATCCATTTGAAGTGTGTGTCCACAGTCTGGTTGTCCCACGAAGAGAACAACTTAGCCGGCTGTCCATTACCGAGGTTAGCGTAACCCGTTTGGTAGGTATGCGTGTATTCCCTAACGTCTGGCCAGAGGTCAAACTTTTGATGGTCTTTGTAGGGCTGGTCATTGTTTTTTACCCAATGGCCCCATGAATTGCGCGGTGAGTTATCCCCTTTGGCGCCAAACCATCCCTGGTATCCGACCGTCAATTTGCCGACAACGTCGCCGACGGCACTGGAGGCCAGAAGTGGTGTGGCGGCCGACAGACATACTATGAGCACTATAACTGCACTAGGTGCTTTCATTTCACTTTCTATTATCCAAAACACGGTTTATTGTTTTTCATATATTTGCATCGTATATATAGGTATATCTGAACTGGGAGAATTTACTGCCAATAAGCACCTGGTTTTGTTATGGTAAGTATTTACATATCCGTATATTGTTGTACTTTTGTTTTAACTAAAACTACCTTTATATGTACCTTTATAGATAAGTGTTTAAGCATATGCATTGTTATTATATATTGTAGTTCACAAATATTTTATATAAATGTTTGCAGTTTAGTAAATATTTGGATAAAACTTCTAAATTAGCGATAATTGTCCCAAAAATTTAATCAGAATTAGATTTAAAAATAAAATTCTACTAATAGTTTTAAAATTTATTTTATTTGACATGAAAATCAATACAAATTATTTTCACAAATTTTGAAACTAGTTTTACTTTAATTATTTTATAATTAATTTGTAAAATTACTCAAATGTTTGCGTTTTTTGTGTCGGGTTAGATTTGATTTAATTGTGAACCCTTGCCCACAATCATTTACATCACAAACATAGGGCTTCTCTCCCGAGTGGACCCGTTTGTGACGAAATAAATCCATTTTAAGTGTAAACCTTTTGTCGCATCTCTTATAATTGCATTGAAATCTCTTTTCCTTCAAATGAACGGCGCTTTTATGTCTCTTTAATGTCTCCTTTTGTGCGAAACATTGAGCGCAACCCGAATGCAGACGTTTGTGTTGATTGAGATTAGACTTCCGAGAAAACCGTTGACCACAACCCTCGCATCACATCTGAATCTCTTAAGCTTCAAATGGACGGCACTCTTGTGGTCTTTGAGATGATCTTTTCGAGTGAATCGTTTGCCACAATTGGGCCAAAAACACACAAATGGGCGCTCATTGGAGATACTCTTAGCACCCGAACTACTAGTGCTGGCAATCGGTTCACAATTATCGGTGTCTTCTCTGTCATCCTCTTCTCCGACACCACTCTTTGCGTCCTCTTCTGCTTCCAACACCTCTTCTAAAATTATTGCCAAATCGTAAGTTATTTTAAATACTGTATAAAATACTTATAATATAAGTTATATTTATCAATTCTCTCTCTCTCTCCCTCACACACACACACAGTTTGACACATTGTGTGGAAATGGGTTTATATATTAAACAATATAGGGATGAATTGCTTATTACTTTAATTAGTGGTAGATTTGTGCGAAAGAAATTTGAAAGTATGTTAAATGTGGTGAAAGAGACCCGGAGTACAGCCATAACACTATGGGATGTATTACGAGGTGTTTATATCATTTGGATTTTTGGTCACATATTCGCTATCATTTGTTTTGACATTGAAATTGTATATTACTATTTAGTCCTCATTATAATATGTCATTCAATTGTTAAATATAAAATTATAATGTTTATTTGACATTAAACTACTGAATTCAATTGTATTACTACATTAATTTTTATAATGATAATATTACTGTATAAATATAAAAAGCTCAATGCACTTTTTAAAAACTTTATATTTTACCTAATTTTTTAAATAGCTGGTAATAGCATTATATCATTAGTGGTAACAATACATATATTTTTTGTTGTGGTTAACACATATCTGGTTCAAGATATCGGATAAGACCAGACAAATTTTAGCTTATTTTTACTGCTTACAAACTTTTCTTGCTTACGACTCAATATTAAAATCTTTTT